TACTAGAAGTAGAACTAACACTAGACCTGGAACTAGAAACATTCGGGTTTAGCCGTTTTGAGAGACGAACGGCTAAAGCCGAATGATTCCAGTTCTAGGTCTAGTGTTAATTCTAATTTTATTTGTTATTCAGCGCCAGATTGTTGTATATCTTTATTAAACTCGTAATTTTTACGATACTTTAGCTTTTTAGCATTTTTTAGCATTTTTTATTCATTAGATAAAACTAAAAATACTTCCTTCCAAAACTGTTACACAACAACAATGTCAAATACAGACATAAAGATTTTTTTATTTCAATTCCGACATAGAAAAACCTAGATATATCAGATAGCAATATAGGCTTTATGTGATATAGGTTCAACAGCATACAAGTTCCATTGCCCCCAGGTCCGAATGAGATCTCGTCAGCCGATAAAGAAACTAATAAACAGTTCGCCGCCGTCGGCGGGTAGCAATTAAACAATAAAAGGTGTGACAAATATCATTGTTTTCGAGTCGACGACATAAAATAGGCAACGTGCCCGAGCATTCGTCATTCGGCTTACAATACGAGCGTCAAACTCCGGGTCCGCGTTTTGCACACAATGCGATGATGCGGCGCCTCGCGTCGTTTCTCGACAATCCAATGCAAATAAGGTTGAATGAAAGTCATGACGACGAAGTATCGTAGGTAACACGTCGTTGATTGAGCCGTAATCGTTTCTTACAGATTTCACATCTCCTTCTCACAAAGACTCTATGATATCTCTATGATATTTATATTATACTCTTCAACGTCAACTTGAAATTGCAAATTGTACCCTATATATCATTACTATAATAATCTTGTTTTATGTAGATGTTTAAACTAATTTAATCTGATTTAACATGATTACTTAAATCTTATCACTCAAATCAATCTTGGGTAATAAATAATAACCGCACTATTTATTTCACGTAAGTTTCACCTGGAGCGGAGATTTTGGTGTTCGTCTATAATTTCGAATGTAAATCTGAAGGGATTGATTAGAAGCAACGTTTGCGTTGACCGTTACTATTTTACCATTTGCATTTATTTGAAATTGATTAGATTCACCAGGAAGTAAAGAAATTGCTGTTTACGTCCAAGAGTATCCTACTTATGCGGAATTCCAGATTTTCATTAAGGATATTATGTCCATTTGATGTTTATAATCTATTTTTTTAACGTTAAACTCATTACTTATGTTTATAAGTCGTATTATAAGAAAATTAATGTATTATAAGTAGGTTATTAGTTTGATCGGGATTCTAAAGAATTTTTATGGATTTGTTTATATTAATTAATTTAAATCGTAAGTTAAAGAAAATATAGATATAAACGATAAAGTTATGAAGTGTAACATTTTGTTTTACAGCATTCTAATAGATACGATTTTTCAGTAAAATATTGTGCGTTTACTTCACACTCCAGAGTAGAAAATGCGTGATTTAGACGAGGTCGCTTGTTGCTAAAACGTTACAATTAATATCATATCGACACAAAAAAAATTGATTATTAATCAAACCTCAAGTGATAAGCTGTAAGATAACGTTAATGCATAAATGTAGAAAAAGAATAAAACAACTTTTGGAATGACTCCTATTTCTATCGAATCCTGAATCAACGATGATGCAACTTGTGATAATAGTAGAGGAAGTTGTTTCTGAAAAAATCTCGAAAAAAAAACTATGATGCAAGAATGTCAGCTTCGAAACTTTTTTTGCTGGGCACCAAGAATGAACAACAATGTACTTAATTTATTCTCCTCCGAACAAATCTAGAATGGAGTTGGATTTATCCTTTCAGTCACTGGAGTCTATTTTGGATGAGGTACAAATGAACTAATGATAAGTAAATATTCAAAAAGAAGTAAATTTCATTCATTTAATGAAAGAAAATCATTAACTTGATAGCTTAAAACTTAATAATAGCTGGGTAAGCCAGACGTTTGGGCTTGACAGATATGGGTAGAAGTGTTTTAATATTAAAAATTTTATCTTGAAGTTAAAGAACAAGTATACGATGTGGAATATATCTTTAGGAATAAGATACACTACATCATATCTAATTTCGGTGCATTTTGCCTTTTAATTTCTATTCCAGGAAGACTCTTCCTGGAAGCCATTGCACCTCTCTCCATCTTGCTCTTAGACCTAACTCAAATAGTGATAACCTAATTTGTAGGCACCATTCTTGCAACGCATATCTTGTAACCAAACCATCTAGTTTACAATATTGGGAAAAATATCATATTGTTAAGTACTGTGCAAAATTCATAATTCCATCTCTGATTTGCTTTGTGTTGGATCTAGTTTCTTATACACACAATAAAGTTTACGTTGTCACAAGCTGGATATTCTTTGGATGTGCCTGGCTTTAAATTTTTATAATTTATAGGCTAGATTATAGGCGATGAGTAAAACTACGAAGTATTTTAACTTAGTTTCTGAAACCCATTTTGAAACCCACATGAACCTTGGTTAGATTGGGTTGAGTTGGGTTGGGTTGTATTGGATTGTGTTGGGTTGGGGAGCTTCGTACTTTGACCATTGTTTTGTGCACTATCTAAATACATAAACGAATTATGCGTAAATTTTGTTACTTTGCTAGTAGTCGTTGCGCGATGCATCCACTTCTCTGAGTCTACACTGTGTTAATTAATTATCGTACCCGACTTCATCATTGCAAGTATGCAACCAATATCACAGTATTGGTATTACAATACGCAAATCGCGTATTGTGTTGCATACTTGCAATGATGATGTCGGGTTCGATAACTAATTAACACACTGTACTTCTCTGTGCAGTTATTGTTCCCAGAGGTAATTTCATCGTAGGAAACAAACATGGTCTTTCTAATCTTCCTGTTTTCTTTCTTTTTATTTTGTTACAGTTTTCCCAGACTGTATCTAAGAATATTTTGATGTATTAACTTTTCGATAGGTTTTTTTTACAAATATTTTCAAAATCTTGTTGCAAATATAGACTGGTGTGTTTTGTTTCATTTAAACTCACGATACTTGATGCTTTGCAGAATGTGTCAAGCAAAACACTATGTGTTTGATGGTCGTAACACTGCTTCATGTGGGATGTAGTGTTTTCCATTTTCATATTGGTGTACAATTGTCATCAATTAACAACATGTCATCGATTTTGCAGCTTCTTTGAAATTGTAAAATTGAATTTGACAGAATTTGGGGTACTTTTGGAAGATTTATTGTGTTAGTACTACGATGAAAATTGCTTGGGTGTATTTCTTTTTGTAACTGAAGAAACTTCTTACAATTAGTTTCGTTTATAATAAAAATAAAACTTCTTCTTTTAAAGTAAAATAAATCGTTAAATATTAAACGTAAAGGGTTAAATTTGTTGAATCATCCTCAAAAACCGTTTAATTCCCAGAATCGAATTTTCTTCATTGACAAACCGATACCAACGCAACAAAAACGGAAATTAGAAAAAAATTTTCCAATCTCCATTGATAGGAACGTCCCGGCATCATAAAAAAATTGTGTTTAAAATAAAAATAGAACACACTCTGGGTCTATTTTATGGATTTGTACTTCGTTCCGATTTAATTCAATTTCCTCTTTCAAATGCCCGAAGCGGATTACTCATCGTTTTTTCGAGTAAACCGTCGCGTCGTCCTGGTTAACGCTGTGACTGAGTGACTTGCTCATATTGACTCTTGCGACCTTGCCACCATACAAATGACGGATTTTACCTAGAAAATGATTACGCAAACGCTCCCACTATTCTTACAAAGTAAAATCCCTGCGTTGTTCTATTAAAAAATAAATAGTTAGGGAAACCCCAGTCGTTTTATTTGATTTATTAAAACATTTAAAAGGTGAAATGAATAACTTGCGGCGATTTGAAAGAAATGTCTACATAAGAAGGTCATGATTAAAGTTAGTTTGGCGTCACGCTGTATTAGTTTACGTTACAAGGGGGCATGGGGAACCCCTTCTTCGTATGGTGACATTGTATCGTATGCTTAGAAAAAGGCGTGCGAAAAATTATGTCATCAGATTTTTTTTTGTATTTTAGTTGGGAACGAAGAACATCTGGCTAGACGTGTGCTGTTGGGGTTGAAGGCTCCCGACGGATTTTATTTTAACATCCCGCTGGGTATATTACTACGTTTTGACTTGGTCTCTATTGGAGCTTTTGTTCGATACGTCAAATTTAATAGTGTTAATTCACTTAATGGATTTTTCAACATGTTTACACAGATTTAAAAGAATTTTTCTTATAATTAACACAGTAATTAAACATGATTTTTGAAGTTAGAAGTACTGATATTGGATTGAAATGGGCGTGTTTATTTTCACCCTTTTGCACAAAACCCCCTTTGAATTATATTAGTCATATGTCTGTTACAAAAACTACCCCTTGGTCAGTAAGGCTGGACATTTCAAAACCACACCCACTAATATTACCTGAATCAATTCAATTTTTGATCGATATATTATAGCCTAATTTTGTACCTTCATCTCCTTTCGAAATTATCTTCTCACGTAACAGGTAAATGGATGTGGGCGTTTCACCGCCACATCCAAAGAGCTATAGAAGACCAATTAAGAACAAAAGGAACCCACCCGAAACGTTCTCCCTAAATAACAATATCTGTCGGCGAAGTCAATTTTTCTTCATCTTGTCTTCCTTCTTCAGCCGTCACGCTGTTGCATACAAAGCCATGTGGTGGTGCATTCGGTACTAAACAGGGGCCAATAAAATCTACGCGGGCTCTTCAAAGTAGAACTCTCTCCATCATAAACCGTGTGTTTATTGTAACTCAGCCGTGGCAGTCGGGCTAAATAACTATTAAAACGACGGTTTATGGCGTCGAGGCGCCTCGATTCGGCGTCATTACACTCGTCTTTACTCCGTGTAAATAATCGGCGGTTTATTTAGTTTATTTCAAATCATTAAAGATTAAACACATTTTATCTCATTACTTATTCACATATTTCTTTTAAATTATTTGTTGCAGGTTCATTTAAAATCGTCGTTTATCATGAATGGGGTTTGTGTTAGATGGCGCGGTTGGATAGATTTGGAACGACTTGATGGTCTTGGATGTTTAGAATACAACGAAGAAAGGGCTCAAGCTGAAGACGCTCTTCTCAAAGAACAAATTGAAAGGTACAACCAGAGGCTGCGTGAATTCGAAGATAAAAGATCTTATAGGAGTCAACAAGAAAGAGCCGATCAAGATTTAGATGTAAGAATTTTAAGACGTTTATTTATATAAAATTACTTTATTTGTGTGTTGTTGTTGTTGTTGTTATAGGTGTGGTCGAATAGAAGAAGGGTTTATTAAGAAAAAATGAGCTAGAAACAAATTACTACCAAAGTGTGTCGTCGTAAATGTGTACATTTTTGTATTATAAGTGATTTTACCGTTTAGTTCAAAAAAGTTTTATTTTATTTGTACATAATTATTATTTAAATTAGATCTTAAAGACTTGAAACGCTTTGTTTAGTTTTATTTTTCGTACCTTCGGTTTTTTCTTTTCCAGAACCCTTTTTCAATTTTTTTTGATGATTTTTTTGGTGTATATAACAACTGATTATGAAATAAATCATTTCGTTTATATAAAAGTGTTTCATTCAGGGTAAAAATAAACTTGACTAATACTGGACCACATCCTATATGTAAGTATCCCATACAGGATTTGAAATATTTGGTGCTGCATTTAATTTATTATACTATCTATTGTGTATTGAAGTATAAATACACATCCCAGTGAAGTATGAAGTTCGTTTATCAAAGTTTGTGCTTTACCGTGATTTGATACATCTTTTATAATTATTTATTAACAACGATTTCAGAAATAATTTGCTACGTATTGTTACTCTGGCAATAAGAGTTAAATGAATGCTCGTATTAACACGAATACTGGCGATAAAAGCTATGATACATAAACAACCATTATTTATTGATAAGTAACATCACAAATCGGACTCTTTTTTCACACAAAAAAGTACTACAAATTTAAAACATGTTTTTCAGAATTGGAACTCTGATGTATAAACTGGCAGCATTAATCTTGGTATCTCATCTATATCGCTACCTTGCACTCTTACGCAAAGGATATATTAAGATTATATTTGTGTATATTTCATACATCAGAATATAGATTTCAAATTTAGCAATGATTAGTTAAATCATTTTATGCCACTGCAAAGTTTTTTGTTCTTTGTTTCTGATACAGAAAAACTAAGGAAATTGACTATCAGAATCATCAGAAACGTTTCAAAATGAAATTTTTTGAGTACCTACAGCAGATTTTGGAGATCATATTATTAACTCAATTTCTACCTCTACTTGTCGCTCTAATTGCACATATGTATCAAGATGAATCGTATCAAGTATTTGTTACATCTAGCACTTTTGGAATTGTTGTCTAAAGTGAAGATTAAAAGTTCTAGCTATGCAACACAACTCACTGTGAACTTCCAAGATACTACATTAACGTGGGAAAATTTCCCGATGAACAGTGAAGATTTTCGATTAGTTTCCCAAAAGATTACTTTTAGCGTTAAAGTGAAAACTAAAGCAATTCAAAATAGTTCTTCCTACAGAATATTTTGTGATGTACTAAACTATCTAGCTATATTCAAACTTACTATGACTACTTATGTTAATGACTTGAAATTATGCAATTTCATCCGTCTTTCAAAACTTATTTTATACATCTTTCGCATTTCACGTCATCCTAAAGCTTAATCTATTCATATACTGTTGTCACTCCAAAATCAGCCAACAAGTCTTGAATAAGAGAAGTACCAAGTTATTGCCGTTTCTCTTCAAGTAATTTAAACTCATATTTTCTCGAATTTCAGGAACTTCAAGTGTTTGGTAAACTTTTCTGTAATATACGCACTGTCTGTAATATGCCAGAGAATAGCATTCCAGTTTGCTTCTAGTAATAAGTTTGTTTACATCACCATTAAATAAAGCTTTTCCGCAACGTTCGAGGTTCATTTCGCACACACTATTGAGTGATAAATCAGGACATTGCGGATTTCTGACTTGCTAAATATCTATTTGGTAAAGCTAGAAATGAAATGTGACTTTTTTGGCGCCCAATGTGGGGCCCATTTGCTGGAGGCCATTCTGTTGGAGGCCATATTCTCTTGGAGGCCGTTTGTTGGAAGCCCATTCTGTTGGAGGCCAGAGATTTCTTGGTTTCAGATATCTTTTGTGGTTGTTTACTTTTGTAATTGGATCTTTCTTTGGTTATGGCGTTGAGAGTGGCTGTAGGTTATCTATCCAAGGATGAGTTATCGTGTGAGTTAGAGTTGAGAGGTGTTAAATCGAGTACCGTAGATGAGATGCGTACGAGGTTAACACGATTGTTGCAGATAGAACAAGTAGATGGTACTGTGGTTGAGAATAAGTTGAAAGAGGTGCATACGTTGTTGGAATCATTTGATAGTAAGAATGCTAGATGTGTCGAATCTAAGGTCTGGCATACACTAGATCGAATTAAACGTATGAGTGAGGTGTCTGAGGGTCGAGTTACTTTTGTTTTGAATTTTCGGTGCTACATTTTTGGCTCAAGCCATTTTTTTGATCACAAGCCATCAAATTTTGGGATACTTTTCTAATAAACTATCATCTAACTTTGACTTTTAATAACAATTATTTAAGGCTAAAGTTACGGCTAAACTTAAGGCTGTTGTAAACAACGACGAAATTACGACACTTTATCCTAGTCTTTGTTGTTTTCCAAAAATCCACAAACGTGATTTTGTATCTGTTCTATATATGTTCCCAGCAAATATTTAACTAGTTTTCTGATGAACATTCAGTGTTTTTAAAAACTATTTCACTTGTTACGTTTTTAAATTGTTATTCAACGCAACGCAACGCAACCCAACCCAACCCAACCCAACAATGTAATAATTTAGATGAAGAAGAAGATATACTTTGCAATGTTGAATCTGCAACTACAAATCATAGAAATCATTGAAAACTATACCTACATACAGCATATTTTAAGCACAGCAGCCAATTACAGAGTTCCAACCCATAGCTATATGCAGAAAACCACAGAAATAGTATGTAGATTATAGATTAAACTATAAAACCATACAAAATACATAACAACACCTGTGAACCGAAGACGACAGATTGAATTTTGTAAAGTGTATTTGTAAACTGCACCCATAATAAATTGTATCTCTATTTCGAATACAAAAATTGCGATAGCCAGAGTAATAAGGTAGGTGGAATAAGGTGGTACAAGTGATTATATTCCGGTGAGGTATTTTGATGCACAAAACTGGGATCATGATGTTATCACTTATAGATTAGCTGATGACATCTATACAATACATTAATAATTTTCTATACATTCAAAAGTAAGCAGATTTCCTTGGACAACATTACAGGATTTGCTTTTTGAAGACATGATCAGGTATGATAAGATATGTTTGATGATTGAGAAAAAGTGAATTAGATATTTGGACAAGATTATGAAAAAATAATACTTTATAACAAATTTGCACGTTTTGTATTCGCCAGCTCAATGATTGCTGATGTTAGCGATTCGGGAAATATTCTGCACAACTGGGCAAAAAGTAATGTTACATTAACTTAACATTTACAACAAGCCTTAAGATGTATGTTAAGAATTTTATCAATTGAAATTTATAAACTTATCATTGACAAAGATATAGATAAAGAAAGGTTGATTATCATTGTTGAAGAACTTGTCAAGAAAAAGGGAAGACAATTATTTCATTGTTTATGTTTAATTTTATGATCATAAGTAAGCAGCAGGAATTTTCGTGATAATTTTAATAAAAATGTATTAAATTTGATATAAATTACTAAATGCTTTTACAAAAATTTTGAATTTAGTAACTCGATTAAATCTTTTTAGGTAATTTTCTTCCTTTCTAATAACACATTTTGCTCCCCTGTCATATTAATTCTAATAGATACATCAAAGTTAAAGTTGGATCACCGCGAAAGGCTTTATGAATAGAAAATAACATTAAACCCGGCCGAGATCGCGGCATCAGTAGCAATCGAAGTTCGTAAAGGAACACGGTCGTAAAGGTAAATTACGTATGACGATAGAAAGTGTATAATTATAGCGTCTACTTAACGATATCGACGTATAATCGGTGGGAAATAAGTGATGGTTAATTTGTATATAAATTGATAATTGCCTTAAGTAAAATAATCAAAAAAAAAGAACTAAAAATTCTGTACGTGCACCATATTTTCTTTAAATAAATCTAAAAAAAATTTCAATTCCAGGAATTTCTTTATCTCTAACAAGGCCAGTCATCTAAATTTTTTTATAGATGTTGAGGACTAGACTCCCGGAGTTTCTTTACCTATTTACATTTCGATTGTTGTCGAAAAAAATTCTCCGACCGTCAAATTCTATTACAAAGGTAACAGGCCGAGAACCGAAGGCTTATTATGATGCTTCGAAGGCCTATATAGGCATATGCCCGTCATGAAATGTACTTTGTAACAAAAACGTAGCCAAACTCGACGAGTCCCCGGGGGGCATCATAAACACAGATACGAAGCCCCTCTTTGATTTTTCACTTCGGCACCTTTTCTAGCGTCAATGCACGTCCCGTCGTGCTCAATATTGTCGACGCAATCCTACCAGGGGCTGCTACTACTGCCCCTTTTTATGAATCCCCCTTTTTTTCTCTTACTTTCGAAAACCCCCCTCGGGGCGTCTAATAAGGGCGTACGATTTAAATACAGCCCCTCAATACGACAACCTTCTTGTGCTTATTTATTATTAATACGTTGTTAGTGACTGGACAAAAATTTCATACAACAATATTTTCTTTCAAGTTTTAAACTTTTATAAACGAAAAAATTGTAAGGTTTCCGAAAGATATTTCAAAAGTGTTGTAAGACTTTTTTCCCTCTCTTAAATCTTTGTTGCTTTCGTTATTCAAAGAAGTGGATCACGTGACGAACGATGTTAATCATATCGGATATTGTTGACCGGTCTACGGTAACCGAAGATACCGATGGTCAATGATCCGTCAATGCACGTGTAGAAAAAAAAAAAGGGAACCGAGAGAGAACCCATTGGTGCGGAACGCCGTCGGGCAAATGCAACGAAATCCGAAAGGAAGCTTACCAATAACGAAATAACGGCGGGTGCGCGTAACACGAAGACGGCTTATCTTTCATCGAACGAATTTGTTTCCCTCTAAATCTATTTTTAAAACTGGAAATCTAGTAGTAAACGTTACACGCTTTGACACTTTCCCTCAGGGGACAAGTGTCAGAAATAAATCTTACCCTAATGGTGACGTTTTCGGAAGTTGATAATTTATTAACGATATCTCTTCCTGTGTGTCAAAGTTAAGTGAAACAGGAGATATCGTTTTAAATAGAAATTTAAGAAAAAGAATCTAAATCAAGATAATTAACTATAAAGAATTATTTCATCCCAAAGTTTTCTTCGTTTCGAAATGC